ATGAAAATTTTTTTTATTTGTATTAGGGTGTGGGTGTGGGAATCGTTTTTCTCCTCATACCAACATTCACACCCACACCTACACCCACACCCACACCCACACCCAGCCACCCAAACCCACACCCACACCCCCCCCCACCCACGCCCACACCCCTAATTCAGAATAATTAAGCCATCTGATGACACCCTTTAGGAAGGTCGAAATCTAGATCATGGCAGCTTATTCACACCCACACCCACTCCTATAGTAAGACACTGTCAGGTTTATATGGAATTCCAGATTTATTTTCCCATGAAAATATGGAGCGCAGTAAATGTTTCCAATACATATTTCTATCATTTTGTAACCCTTTCAAAGTTGTATTGATTGTGAAAAATAGGGTTGTCTATGCTGTACAGAGATGGTGATGGATAGGTATCCATGTGATGTTTTCTCTATCTATGGCTTTTTACTTTACTATGCTACAAAGTTGCTTTGAAAACACTATAGATAGCTTTAGTGAAGCGTTTTATTGAATAAAAAAACATTTTCTCAGAACTCCATAAGGAAATTATAGTGTTTAGTGCTTAGGGCCATTTTACCTACCAAGCGTCCTCCCCTCCTTTATCAAAATATTTTGAAAAAAAAATAGAATTATATGTTGTCTTTGTCATTTATTTATCCATGAATCCTAAGAATCTATTATAAAAATAAATTTCTTTATACCTCAATCGCATTTAAAATAAATGTTTTATTCTACACATCAGCGAATCTAATCTGAATTTCTTCTCAGATGAACAAAGTTTATATAATTTTATAGTTCGGTCGTACATATAACTCATAATCATCATCTCTGCAATCTTGCGTTGGATTGTACTGTGACTGAAAAGCAAAAAAAGTAAATAGTAGAATGATCTTCTTGACCTTATCTTCAGATTCATATCAAGTTGAATTATAGTCAGGTTGAATGGGTCATGAAAAAGTTGTCCGTGTCGGATATCTCGACATTCATAGCTATTTTCATCGCTTACTATAATTATCAACGGCAGGATCCACTTCACTATTCACAATGAGATTCACACTCAATATGCGCTTCCCTTTCAGAAACAGTTCAGCAAATCATCACTGCTTTTGTTTTTCTATTGAAACGCTGTGAGTACAATGAACGTTGAATCACTAATCTCAAAGTAAATGTGAGAGTTAAGATAATATTCTGTTAGTAGAGAAAGTACATCAGTGCAGTTTTCATTCAGTACTGTGTCATTTCAACTAAGAAATACTGCAGACCATCGATTGCCGTGCACATTTGGGACCTAGACAACCGCAGACAGCCAAAGGATAATCATTTTCATAGATCTTTGGCTCATTGGTGCTATCCAAGTCGTAAAGAAGGAACTTGAATACATGCTTCCCTAAATAATGATAATGAAATGACATGTGCTATGGGAGCCATTCCACGTCAGCCACGACAGATTCTCTATAGAGGCACCCTATCGAAGTTCTCCGATTTGGCTTATTTTTATATATGTGATAGAACAAAGTGTTTGAAGCATTTTTACGTAAACCGATAGAAAAAATATTGAGCCATTCGGTTTTTATAGCGATTTTACTGGAGGCACTATTAAATCAGTGAAAAACACATTGTTACGAGGAGCGATTTTCAGCAGCCTAAAACCTCAACAAAAGAGCAACTGTTTGATCTGATTTTTTTTTGCATTCAACAACTAAGAAAGTTCTACACATACCATGACTTGCAGCTCTCTTAGTCGAAGCTTTGGTACTTTATGGATTCCACATTTTGAGGAAAAATCACATTTTTTGAAAAATTTTCGATGCTTATATCTCGTGATTGAACAATGATAGAGAGCTGAAATTTCGAACGCTAGCCTATCTTGTAACTATCTCACTACCATGTAAATTTCAGCTTCTTAGCTTGAAGTATTCGCCCACAGTAGCTGGAAGAAAAATAAAATTTTTGTCTGAAAGTCAATTTTTGACCTCGATTTCCTCCCAAAAGAAACCCTAACTTTTTTATCGGTATATACAGATTTAATGACCGTACTTTGGTCTACAACCCATCAAAAGAATCGGCATGGGACGCATATGGGCCGAGGAGAAACCTACGGACCTTTTTTGCAAAAATGAATTCTTTGAATTTCCCTTTTTTCACCTCAACTTTACTGAATATCTCATGAATGGTTCTACCTAGAAAGTTAAAACTTTTAGGGATGATAGATCTCACATAATTAAGCAAAAAGTTCGCTTGAGACAAGCTTCCAAAACGTATGAGTCTATATACCAGTCGAGTCCTATTGGTCGAAAATGAACTTGGTCATTCTGCAAACAGTTTTTTTCCTACAAGTAGCACAAGCGAATTTAACATTTTATCGTTGTTGTTTTATGTTGTTTCGAGTGAGCGAAGTTAACTCAAATGCCTCAAGAAGCATTTTCTGCGTCGACAAGAAATAGCAATGCACCAAAAAGGGCTTAGGTTTTTTTTCTTCGATTCCTAATATGTCAATATTATCTGAATATTGAGTACTTGTACACTTGTTGAAATATAAGTTGTTGGATCATCGAGCGCATACAATATTGAATGAAAATAAACTCACAAGTCTCGTTAGCCGTCTATATAATTTAGTATTTTGTAAAAACTATGCCTGCAAATGATCATGCAGGAGGTATACACTAAGTAAAAATGTGTCGCATGTGTCGGGATTTGCGACACAATGTACGACACATTAGAGACCGACACGATGTGCTCGTTGCGACACATTTTGCCAGCAAGAGCACGACACATTCTTGTACGACACATCCGACACATTTTGAAAACGTGGTTCAAAGCTATCGTACAGCGAATTTTTCGCTTTTTTTCTTTTTTAAGCATATTGTATATTTTGAATTTAAATTCCTTCACTTATTCCTATTATTGTAACTAAAGTAGACCAGACCCGAGGATCTGTCTGATCTTGAGTTGGTCTGATCTTCATCAGACCACTTCCAGAGTAGTACTCCCCAGTCATTGATCAAGGGAGACATTTTCATGACCCAAAATATTAGTCTAAAAACAATCCAGAAAAAAGATTAAATGAAAATTTTATGTTTCATATGTTCAATCGCATTGCTTATATACAGTTCTGCTCGCATAAGAAAGGGATGAATGAATAGGCAGTAGACAGAACACGACAAATTTATTTACGACACATTATAGCCTCGACGGATTCTTGGGCTGGAGCTCACGACACAATAACTGACGACACATAAATACGGCACATTTTAAATTAGAGTGTAAGAAATAGATGAGAGGATACACATCAATGTAAAATGTGTTATATGTGTCGTAATTTGCGACACATTATCTCCAGCCATGGCACAACACATTTTGTTCGACACATGTGCCACATTCTGAAAACGTGTTTAAATTCACTGGCCAGCATACTTTTTATTCTTTTTCAAAAACAAAATCATGAAACTTTTTCAGATTTTATTGAATAGTTCTATTCTTAAAAACCTAAGCAGTTCCGTTCTTAGGATCTGATCCGCCCTCGAGTCGGTCCAGTTTTGCACCAAATCACTTCAGAGTAGTCCTCTCTCAATCAATGATTGAGCTAGGTATGCTCTCGCCTAATTAATACTGGAGAAATAATCTTGAAAATATTGAAATGAAAATGCATAATTTTCCTATGTTCAATTGAGTTCTCTAAATAAAGCTTTGCACGCAAAACAAAAATGGTGAATGGATAGTCGTCACACAGAACGAGACAAATTTCTTAGCGACACTTTCTGTTGCGACACATTTTTGTCATTGAACCTGCGACACTATGACTCACGACACATCTGTACCACACATTTTAACTTAGAATGTACAGATTAAAACTCTGACAAGGGTTTTAGAAGCATTATAATTTTTGAAGAGGTCGACAGATTTCATTCAGAACCTTTATTCGATAATGAAAATTGGTCCAATTAAAAAGAAGTATAAGTGAATATATTTTTTTCTAAGATACAAAAGACAAAAAACAAAACTTTGGTTGAAATAGTGAACAGCTCAGGGATGTAACTATAAGGAAACAAATGAGTTGTGATTGTAGATTTGCTAATGAGCTGATGAAATCAAGATGTTGATGAAGTTCTCAAATACTTGTGGTACGTCTGTGAAGCACGAAGTTGGTATCTGTAATAAATTAATGGCAATGCTACTGATAATTGTTACCTAAATAATGTGGATCATTCGCGTAATTTGTTTCTCTTAGCATTTGTATTATGTTCTAATTTGCGATGTTGATAAGGGGTATCATCACTTAAATTGTTTTGTGAAAAGTTTGAAAGTGAGTACTCTGTGTCTATTCTATGATCGAAAGAATAGCAAATGAAAGTACATACCATAACCAATTGCTTTTTACATTTTATCTGATTAAAAAGGTATCCTGTCTCAAGACAGATTCAACACACTGGGTTTATTAGTAGTATGATCGCCATATGATGCTGTCTCCATTTTGTGTTGTATGAAAGTAAGACGTTTTACTAAACCATAAACAAATGAATCGGAGAGAATGAAAAACCATCCATATTACTCAAGTATTTGTAAAACAATGTAAGAGACGCTTACTCAAACAACGCGATGAACTTTTTTTTGTTCTTTTTGCATTCGACTTAGATATCATATGTTAAAGAGTTCATAATGCACAGAGTAAGGATACTTTAAAAAAAAGAGACAGAAAAAGAGAACAATAGATAAAATAAAATGTTTTAGTTTTATCTTAAACATTCATACTAACCTCTATATGAACCCATGGTACAGATAAATTTTTGTTCTGACTACTGACCGAGACAGAAAAGATAACGTGAATAAGTCACGCTATATAAATAGTGACTCAAAAATAGAACACTATTCATACAACATGGATGGTCAGGATATACATCGCTATCAACCTGGTCGTGGTTTGCCAACTTATTTACTATCACGCAACTACGCCGACTCAAGTACAGACAACGGTGGAGCATCACGAATTCGCGCAGCGTCGCGTTGTTCAATGACGGCCGACGAAGACAGCGAGTTTTCATCCATCTCACATGTTCCACGGACCTTTTCTTACATGAGCACGTCCTCAAGTTTCACGTGGTCTGATAAAACTTCTATTTCTATGCCACCAAGCACATTCCAGTATGAAAGAAGTAGTGCTAGTCGTTCAACTGATGATGAGACCCGAACGATTCAAGGTGAAACATTTTCAATGCAGATGGAGTATCCACCTATCATTAGTGCTAGTAGTTCTTTCGGTGAAGCTAGTAGTACCACAGCAGAAACAAAATTGTCGAGTGTTGCTTTAGTCAGTGGCCTCCTAATTGGTTCCATGTCTCTAAACAACACCAATGAGTACAATAATTGCATAAGTTCTGTCTATGACTATAACGCGCCTGTTTTCAATCGAGTTGAAGATATGTTTCCGCCATATGTGCCTCTTCTGTCTAACGACGACAACCAAAGTTATCATGAAAGGAGCGAGTCATCTGTTTTGTATTATTATAGTATCGATTTAACATAAAATAAGATTATATACGTTTAGATAAGATAATCACTGATGAAGTAGAAACAGCACAATACTACAACTAATGCCACAATAGCAGAGAATATCAACTATAAAGAATGCTGCCTCTTTGGTAATGAAACACTTAATGAGTGTGCACCAACTACAAGCCGTGAGTTGCACAGAATGATGAATTGAAAAACTTTTTCTTCTTATGAAATAGATCATTATGGTTGATCGCAAGAATGCATCCCTTTTGCTCATCTTTCCGAGTTTGATATCCGATCGTACTTGAAGCAGAGCGGAATCATTTCCAAAAAGGAAGATGACAACACTGTGATGAACGAAAAAAAACTTAGTCGCTAATCGATTGCTTCGAAAAAACATCCTTGTCGACGATAGTATGAAAATTTGTCCTAAGCATAGATCATCTTTCGGTATCGATTGGTTCAATAAAAAAGACGACTTGTCACCACCCAGAACACCACACTAGCAACCGCTCAGTATTGAAGGACTGCCGAAGAGCAAAACTCGCCACTTGTCTCAAGATTGAAGGCTTTCCAATAGGGGGCAGGTAAGCTTGTTTTTATTCAACATTTCCTTAAAAAACTTGATGAGTTATATTCAAGGTTATGTTCAAAACATCGAAAGTTAGTTTCTTTGGCCGACAATATTGCATCGTTGATGAATGATGAAGTTTCTATTGGTGCAAATTCTCGACATACAGCTGAATCGGAGTTTGTGGTCAATGATCAAAGAGAAAGAATGAATCACATTTTGGCAGCATTCAACTCAAGTCCAATTCGATCTCAAGTAACTACATCAATTAAAAGTCAGTCAAAAAGCGCTCTTCGTCGTTTAGTATCTAAATTTACACGAGGGTCGAAAGCTCTTCAAGGTCTACTAGAATTCAACTAAAGATAATTCATATTACTGAATTACAGTAAAGTGCAAAACTCGTTGCCCTCATGTAAACTAACTTTCGGGATAAAAAAGATCAAGAATTTTTTCAACGAGATTTTTCGAGAACATTCGGACTTAAGAGGAAAGGTATACATATATACATATATATCGAACACACTATATAGTTGTCATTATCATTTCTTGTTTGAGAGTAAATGACGCGACAATGTAATCTGACTTGGCAAAAACGAGACGATCGACCATTTTACACTACTGGAATAATGGATATCGATCTCCAGCAATGATAGCTCTTATAACGAAGATTTCTCCTGAAACTATGAAATACAATATTAACAAGATCAAAAAACAAGGTAGTGTCGAAGACAGACCTCGCTCTGGTCAGCCTTTGAAGATTAACAGTGGTGATAGCAAGACTCTTGGTCAATGGATTCGGCGCAACAACGAGACAACGACGAAAGAATTGGCTGGGAAACTGCTTCAACAAAGAGGTTTACATGCATCACGGTGGACAGTACAGCATCAACTCAGAAGAATGGGTTACAGAAGCACTTTACCTCAAGGAACACCCATGTTGACACAAAAACATGAAGATGTTCGTGTTCAATGGGCAGTGAAACATCAGGATGATGATTGGACAGGAACAATATTTACCGATGAAACATGCTATCAATTATTTAGGAATACCATACGACGCTGGTCAAAAATATCCCAAAGGTGAATTCAAACGAATTCCAAAAAACAGGTAGAAAACAATGGTATGGGGAAGTATTAGTATTAAAGGTCTCGTTGGCTATCACTCATTTCAGCAAATCATGAACGGCTCTTATTATGTCCAAATTCTAAACGATCATCTTATCCAGAATGCCAGGAAGCAGTTTGGTCGACGATGGCGACTACAACAGGATAACGATCCAAAACATCGGAGTCGGCAAGCGCAAGAATTCTTAAATGAAAATGTACCTGAAATTATTGACTGACTATCTAATAGTTCAGACATAAATCCGATAGAGACTTTATGGTCAATACTCAAACGTCGTGTAGAGAAAAGAAAGGCGTCGAAATTCGATGAATTAAATGGTTTTCTGCACGAAGAGTGGAACAAACTCGATCTTCCTACCCTAAATAACTTGGTAAAATCGATGAAAAAAAGATGTTTGGCTGTTATCGAATCAAAGGGAGAACGAATCAATTATTAATTGTGATATAACTGAACATTGTAGCCTATCTTATCGTTTAATGTAATTGGTTATCTTATTGTTCGTTTTTACTCTATGAAATAAATGAAAAACAAAAGGCAAAGACTTTTGCACTTTACTGTATTTTAATTAATTTAGAGAAACTAGCTAATACACTTGTGCCAGGTCAAGGTCAGCAATTAATTGAAATAGCTCAACTTCAATCACAAACTAGAGAAGAACAACAATTACAGCTTTCCATAACTAACGAAATGGTTCAAAGTCTAAAAAAAGTGTACGATATTTATGTTAAACAGGATATACCTTTCATTGATCAAGTTCGAATTCTTTCATTACTTCCTCGTCCATGGAAATGCGAAAAGGTAATGAGTATTGTTGGGTGTACTCGACATGCTGTTAAAGCAGCTCATCAAATGTATGACGACGAAGAGTACATACTCAATAGAGATCAGAAGTCGACCGTTCGACATCGCGCTGATCCTGAAGAGATTAAACACTTTAAAAGTTGGCTTGTAGAGAGTGATGCACTGGTCTCTGGTAGAGTATAGTTTATTGAGTATACTTCTTTTTGAACTCATGATTGTTTCTTATTAATAGGAACATACGGTCTGACCACCTTGCGTATGGACAACGGCGAGAAGTGTGAATTATCAAAACAAATAATACAGTCGCAAAAATCACACGCTATTGTTGATTACAAGAAGTATTGTGACGAAACTGGGTTTCAGAGTCTAGGAAAGAGTAAACTATATGATATAATCAATAGTATGAAACCGACACAACAACGAATAGTGGCTGGACTTTATGAAATTGTTGTCAAAGCATCGAAGCATAGCGATCTCTCTCAAGTGAGTGACAATAATTAGGACCATGAATGTTAAATTTAAACTTATTCCTACTCTATACATTGTCGAGAGTATGCCTATTCCTCAAGCTGATCGAAAACGCTTGTTTAAGCAAATTGATATGTCAGAACAATATCAGAAAATCAGACATAGTGGTCACTTCTCTGATGATGCTGATTGTGTCACTCACTGCACCACGTTTGGTCTCTCTGATCCAAAATGTCCTGAACATTTTTCGAATTTCAATCATGCGCACACATCTCACTGCTCTGATTGTATGAATATCATTGCGACTCTTGACGAGATCAGTCAACAAATCCAAAAGATTACTGACAAGGAAATAGCACAAGCAGCCAAATTTGATTTCGAAAATGCATCCGAACATATTATCGAATGGTCACGTCACAATCTTAGAGCTGCTCGACAAGATTCCGAAAAGAAATCCATTATTTCACAAATGGAAGAAGATGAAGCTTTCTGTACATTTGACTGGGGTCAAAACATTTTGCCTCAGGAATATTGAGAAGCACAGAGTGCATACTTTGGCAAAAAAGAAATGCCAGTGCTGGTGGGCTCTTTCGTATGAAAAGATTCAACAACAAATCTTGCCAACACAGCTGTCACTACAACAAGTCTTTCTCCCCCTTCATTTTGTACTGAATCATATATTGTTGCGTATAACTGATGCTGCGCAGACGGAGCCATATACCCTCAGTGCTGGTGAAATCAGGGACGGCGCGAAGCGGTCGGAGCAGGGGAGGGGGGGGGGGTACCTTCGAAAACGGAAAAAGGGGAACAAATTTTTTGTTGACTCGATTTTGGAGAAGTTTTCCTCGAACACTACCCAAGTTTCACCAAAAAGCAAAACTAAAGACGTTTTTCTTTTTTTGCCCTCACTTCGATTTTTCAGAAACCCGTATACCAGGTCTTAGTTTTTGAGTTTAAAGCTGTACCCACATACAGGAAAACACATTCTGGAATCAGAGAACGGTAGCTCCAAAACCAGGACAAGAGATTCCAAAATCAGAGACTCATAAGTCCAAAAACAAAGACAAGTGAACCCAAAATCGGAGTATTTTAGGGATTTTTTTTCAAAATCTGGAAAAGATGAACTCCCTATCTCCCGTTGGTCGCACCATCTCTGAATGACAGATGCGTCTAGTTATAATACTCATTTCGTGCTTAAACACTAATTTATTAGATTACTAATTTAGTTCTAAAAATCTCAAGAATAGAGAAAAATAGTAGAACAGTTGTTTCAATCTTAGATTTTAGCAGAATTTACGATAAATTCTTCACTGTATTTCTCCGTAATCGGCGAAAATCGTGTACTCTGTTTCTCCAAAATCGGAGAAAATCGTGTACTCTGTTTCTCCAAAATCAGAGAAAATTGTGTACTGTAGTTCTCCGAGATTGGAGAAAGCTCTGTACTGTAGCTCTCCAAAATTGGAGAAAATTTTGTACTGTAGTTCTCAGAAATGAGAGAGAACTGTGTTCTGCAGTTCTCCAAAATCGGAGAAAGTTGTGCGCTGTAATTCTTCAAAATCAGAGGTGATTGTGTACTGTACTTCTCCAAAATTGAAGAAAATTGTGTACTGTATTTCTCCGAAACCAGGAGAAACTGTGTACTATAATTCTCCAACATCGGAGAAAATTGTGCACTGTAGTTCTCCAAAATCGGAGAAAACAGTGTACTTTAACTCTCCAAAATCGAAGAAAGCTGTGTACTGCGATTCTCCAAAATCGGAGAAAGTTGTGTACTGCAGTTCTCCAAAATCGAAGAAAATCTTGTACTGTAGTTCTGAAAAATTGTAGAAAGCTGTGTTCTGTAGCTCTCCAAAATCAGAGAAAGTTGTTCACTGTAATTCTCTAAAATCGGAGAAAATTCCCCAATAATCCCTCAAATTCGGAGAAAACGCCAACCAAAAATTTCCGAAACAGGAGGGGAGTAACCCCCTATCCCCCCGGTCACGCCGTCTCTGGGTGAAATTATTACTAAACAGTTCGAAACAGATCATTCTCATATTAAAAAACTTCATATGCGGACGGACAACGCTGGTAATTTCTCATCTCACGCGACAGCATAAGTCGAGCGGTTGATTTGTGAAGAAATAAGTCGTTTTCTGAATTACTTGACTCTTATTGAGTTACATTCTGTAGCTTTGTACTGAATTATTGATCCGGGATTACAGGAAGGTTCAAAAAAGCAAAGATATTTGTGACCGCGTATGTGGAGTAGCTGAAGCTCAAATGCGCTCGTGGGCAGCAACCGGAAACGATTTATTAAACGCAACCGATATCAAGGAAGGCATGGAATACGCTGGTGGAATAAAGAACACCAAAGTAGCCGTGGCTGAGATTGTTCTCGGTCAAGGTAGACATCTCATTATAGAAAAAAATTCTACACCTTCCTTATATTTTCTATAGGTGATTTCGGTAAAACAAACGTACCCAATGTATCTACACTTCGATCTATACGTTATAGTCCGGACAATATGAAAGTATTTAAGGCATCAAGCATCAGTACCGGCATCGCCATTCCTTATAAACAAATCGACTTAGAAACGAATATGAGAACTGTTAGTCCTTTCAGATGCTCTATTGATAAACAACAATCAAACACAATACCATAAGAGAAAAATACCTTTATTTTTTCTTCCAACCTTAACTTGGTTTAATAATAGGAGAAAAGATCGCAAGCACCATTTTTTAATATTATGTCCAGTGACTGATTGTATGGCGAGTTTCGAGTCAAATTCTGATCTTGATTCGCACATTACAGCGAATTTACACAATGTACCAGACAAGCAACGACGGACAGCATATCATATTGCTAGAATGCACTTTACAGAGCTAATACGGACAACCAACATCAATTTTTAATAGCCAAGACATGTCACGTGTTGATCTCACAAAGTCTACTCATTATGAAAGGTTCTCATCAGCTGGGTGGGGCGTAAGAACACGTAAGCATACCCATCCCATGAGTGAGAACGTGAAAAGCTTCACCGCAAAGCTCTGGCTCGATTTACGAAAATCACACTCGAAGCTCACGCTTCAACAAATACAACAATAAATACGTACTAAGCGGGATGACAATGAAGAGAAGCTCTTTCAAACAAACGAGTATCCAACCTTGAGCCAAATCAAATACCAGTCAAGAAAAATAGCACAAAAACATGGAGTTACTTCCAAGAATGAACTGATCATTATACTTATCGAGATGAAACTGAATAAAAATAAGTTTGCTTATCTATTTTAAACGCTTTGATTGCGCTCTTAATGATTGTGCCAGATTTTCAGACTCTCTGATTACCTCAACACACTTCGAAAGTATCTTAAATAGAATAGTTCCATGCGAAGAACTGCCTTACTGAGAGTAATAACATGAGTAATCTGATAGAGAAACGATTTCTACTACCCTTACGTATGAGTCCTACAGTGAACTCTACCGTCACAGCATTGTTATAGCATGAATTGAGATAAAATATCGAATTATAACACTCAGGTTGCACTAAATCACACTAGACTCTGCTATTTTCTAGCCTCAAATCTAGCAGCTGATCATAGATAGAATCATGCTAAATTCGATTGTACTACTTGTAGGGAAAAAACTGTTTGCAGAATTACCAAGTTCATTTTCGACCAATAGGACTCGACTGGCCTATAGACTCATACGTTTTGAAAGCTTGTCTCAAGCGAACTTTTTGCTTAATTATGTGAGATCTATCGTCCTTAAAAGTTTTAACTTTCTAGGTAGAACCATTCATGAGATATTCAGTAAAGTTGAGGTGAAAAAAGGGAAATTCAAAGAATTCATTTTTGCAAAAAAGATCCGTAGGTTTCTCCTCGGCCCATGTGCGTGCCATGCAGATTTTTTTGGTGGGTTGTAGACCAAAGTACAGTCTCTAAATCTGCATATACCGATAAAAAAAGTTAGGGTTTCTTTTGGGAGGAAATCGAGGTCAAAAATTGACTTTCAGACAAAAATTTTATTTTTCTTCCAGCTACTGTGGGCGAATACTTCAAGCTAACAAGCTGAAATTTACATGGTAGTGAGATAGTTACAAGATATGCTAGCGTTCGAAATTTCAGCTCTCTATCATCGTTCAATCACGAGATATAAGCATCGAAAATTTTTCAAAAAATGTGATTTTTCCTCAAAATGTGGAATCCATAAAATACCAAAGCTTCGACTAAGAGAGCTGCAAGCCATGGTATATGTAGAACTTTCTTAGTTGTTGAATGCAAAAAAAAAATCAGATCAAACAGTTGCTCTTTTGTTGAGGTTTTAGGCTGCTGAAAATCGCTCCTCGTAACAATGCGTTTTTCACTGATTTAATAGTGCCTCCAGTAAAATCGCTTCATATTTTTTCAATCGTTTTGCTTAAAAATGAGCAAAGTCGGAGAACTTCGATAGAGAGTCTCTATAGAGAATCTGTCGTGGCTTACGCGGAATGGCTTATAGTCATCAATAGATAAATAACAACTTCTAATAAATCATAACTTACCTTCCTGAGAGCGTGGATTAGTGTAGGTATCCGACTGATAGCGTACTTCAAGAACATTGACCATTTTGATCCTGCACCTTATTTTACGTATTTTCGTTGATTCATTTACTTCTTTCTTATGCAGATCTTTGAATTGTTTCTGCAAAAAAGGCGCAAAGTTTACAGGACTAGCTTTTTCGATTTCCAAGCGAA